GACAGATGATAGCTATGTTAATAAATTTCAGCCTCAGAAAGTGTTTATTTTTGTTTGTGATTTTCTGCTGATACTCATTTTTTGATGTTACCCACAGTAAAATGGAAAACTATTGTAAAATAGTACATTAAAATACAAGTTTCATAAGACGTCATTTTATCGCACGAGCCCTATATTAGAAAACGAGCCGGAGGCGAGTTTTCTAAAGGGCGAGTGCGATAAAATGTCTTATGAAACGAATATTGTATACTATTTTTTCTATTTTGGTATTGTTTAATTTAAAAAAAACAAATTTTTCTTGGAAATTTTATTCTCATATTTTCTGATTTCATAGTTTAGGTTGGTAACACTACATGCCAAATATAGAAATCTCCTATTATAAAATCGCGAATGACAGTTCGATAGCCATCAGTCAGCCAGTGTTACCAACCTCCGATAAGTAAAAAAGGAGTGCCACAAAGAGCTTCTTTTCGAAACTACTTTTAAGGTGTTTTTTCTCGGTTAAATTAGTTAAACCAGGTTGAACCTAATTCAAAACATTACATTTTCGCGTTGAACTAATGACGTCATAACAAAACTGTTTGAAAATATTTTGAAACAAGATTCGCATCGGTTCAAAAACAAACGCATGCGCAGTAGTTTAGGAAAGTTGACAGTTTGTTATTTATATTTATATTTGTGTTGTGTCTTTTGCAGGGGGTTATAGAATCATAAACAGAACACTCTTACATTTTTTGAAAAATAGAAAATAGGCGTCTAATAACCAGAAAAAAAAACAAACAAAAATTCAAGGTTATGTATGGTTAAATTTTTCTGGTTTGAGAATAGTCACAGCGAATAGTACATTAAAATACAAGTTTCATAAGACGTCATTTTATCATTATGTCTTATAAAACGAATATTTTATACTATTTTTTCTATTTTGGTATTGTTCAATTGAAAAAAAACAAACTTTTCTTGGAAATTTTATTCTCATATTTCCTGATTTCATAAGTTTAGGTTGGCAACACTACATGCCAAATATAGAAATCTTCTATTATTTTTTATCGCGAATGACAGTTCAATGGCCATCAATCAGCTAGTGTTACCAACTTCCGATAAGTAAAAAAGGAGTGTCACAAAGAGCTTCTTTTCGAAACTACTTTTAGTGTCGAAAAGACTTCGATATGACACCAAAATAGAAAATAGTACATTAAAATACAAGTTTCATAAGACGTGATTTTATCGCACGAGCCCTATATTAGAAAACGAGCCGGAGGCGAGTTTTCTAAAGGGCGAGTGCGATAAAATGTCTTATGAAACGAATATTTTATACTATTTTTTCTATTTTGGTATTGTTTAATTGAAAAAAACAAATTTTTCTTGAAAATGTTATTCTCATATTTCCAGATTTCATATGTTTAGGTTGGCAACACTACATGCCAAATATAGAAATCTTCTATTATTTTTTATCGCGAATGACAGATCGATGGCCATCAGTCAGCCAGTGCTACCAACCTTCGATAAGTAAAAAAGGAGTGTCACAAAGAGCTTCTTTTCGAAACTAGTTTTAGTGTCGAAAAGACTTCGATATGACACCAAAATAGAAAATAGTACATTAAAATACAAGTTTCATAAGACGTGATTTTATCGCACGAGCCCTATATTAGAAAACGAGCCGGAGGCGAGTTTTCTAAAGGGCGAGTGCGATAAAATGTCTTATGAAACGAATATTTTATACTATTTTTTCTATTTTGGTATTGCTTAATTATAAAAACAAATTTTTCTTGGAAATTTTATTCTCATATTTCCTGATTTCATATGTTTAGGTTGGTAACACTGCATGCCAAATATAGAAATCTGCTATCATAAAATCGCGAATGACAGTTCGATGGCCATCAGTCAGCCAGTGTAACCAACCTCCGATAAGTAAAAAAGGAGTGTCACAAAGAGCTTCTTTTCGAAACTACTTTTAGTGTCGAAAAGACTTCGATATGACACCAAAATAGAAAAAATAAATTTTCTAAGTAAAATTACGTCATCGTCGAAAAGCAAAACGTCAAAGTCGTCCAAAATGTCAGAAATTTGAAATAAGGGAAGTTTACTGCCTCGCACTAACCATACACAAATAAAGACAAGCAGTAACCTTATTAAGGGAATCCCTATTTTCGGACCCAAAAGCGCATGCGTAGATGTCAAAATAAGGCTTATTTAAATACTGCTTGTCCTTATTGCACGTCCAATAACTCTCTAATGTCAGTTCCGTGTTTTTTATTAAAGTCGGCAACGATATTTTGTGTATTTTACTGACGGAAATCGATTGGAATTTGAGTTTGATCCCTGAATTCTGACATTTCACTGAAAGCATGGTACGGACTACAGACGGTTGTGTGTGAATTGTCACCACTGATGAAGCACGGATAGCACTGATACTGAACTGACGCAGCACTGATACGGAACTGATGTGTGTGAATAGTCCAAAGCACACATCGAGCACAGAGTAAGTGGTTGCAATTTTGTTAGAAAACTCGAATGTGGGGGATCTAACTTGACGGAGCCCTGAATTGACCCATAATGAGACAAGGAGATAGGTGGAATGTTGGAAAATATACAGTGGTCCATTTAACTTGAGACAGTCTAATCTCTGGAAAACGACGCTTTTTGCACTTTGGAATAAAATAACCTTGAGAAGGTAGTCAAAAATCAGTGCTATCATTTTCTTTCAGAAAAGGACACCATATAACTTTTTTCTACAAACGTCACAAAAGTATCATTTTTAACGGATGCTGTCAGTGTCTAAAATGCCATTTTATGACACCTGAGGCGATTTCGCCCCAGATTTTCATCTGCTGTTTGGTAGGCGAATGGTTAACCAATTGGTACGTAGGTAAGTGACGTAGCTCAACAATCTCATCCGAATTCAGTGGATAGGGCGTTTGGTACATTTTGACTTTATGTTTATTTGGACACGAGAGAAAAAGAAACAGAAAGCTACCAAACCTCCACTACCCAGTCAAACCGCGGTATAGCATCTAGCATCTGACAGACCAAAGGCCCTACCAAAGACAGCATCATTCACCCATCCGAAATTGAATGGTACCTGTTTGACAGACCAAACTGGGGTACCAAACTGAGGCGAAATCGCCTCTGGTATTAAAAGTGATTTTATTTTGTTCAAAGGGATAGAACACTCCGCCCAGAGCTGGGCAGTAGCTAGCTACCAAGTAGTTAAGCTACTAGCTTAGCTACTTTTTTGGTAGCTAATATCTTATTCAAGCTACCTTGAAAAAAAAAGTAGCTTGTAGCTGTAGCTTGTGGTAATGTGTTTCAAGTATTCATAAGCTACTGTAAAAAGTAGCTAGCTACTAAAACAAGCTACTTAAGCTATTTTTGGTAGATAGTTAATAGTTATTTAGGTATTAATGGCAGAAAGTGTCGTTTACCGCCCGAGGGTGTGGTTAACGATACTCAACGCCCAAAACACTTATTACGTTTTATGCGCAGCGGACTCTTCTAGTTCAAAAATAAAATAACTATACCTATAATATAATGGCATCCATTCGACATTGTTTTCAAAAATAAACAGTTTTCCCCTTATAAAGGCACGTTTCCACCAACCTATCGCCCGCGTTTGAATTTACCGCTCGATAAAAGTAACTTTATACTTTAATTGCTCAAGCTACAATTATCATTTTCCGGAAAAAAACTTATCCTACCTTGCTTAGATTAGTTTCTAGTTATCTCTGTAGGTACCTATGTTTTATGTGTCCTATTTTATTCTCGCATTCGCAGATCACTGTGATCAAAGTGAACCTAATAAATTATTGTCCAGTGGTTTTTGACAAAAATATGAATACTACTACTTAGAGAAAGTTAATATGTTATTTTCGTATGACGATATTATGAAATTAAATTAGGTAAGGCATGTACATTGATAAAAGTAGCTTAAATAGTAGCTTTCACTAATTCAATATGTAGTTAAGTTACTAATAGCTTAGCTACTTTTTCAAAGAGGTAGTTGAGCTACTGAGTAACTTAGCTACTTACAATATAAAGTAGCTTGTAGCTTGTAGCTAGCTACTTTTTCCAAGTAGCTTGCCCAGCTCTGACCGCCTTCGGCGTCGTGTCCCAAACTTCCCTTTTCACAAAATAAAATGTCACTTTTAGCACTTATATCATAAATAACTATTATTGCATTGCAGAAATTGCTGACGGTCTTTTTTTGAAAAGCAAAAATAGATTGAAATAGAATTTGTGAGTAAGCGCCCCAAAAGGGTAGGGCATATCTGATAGACTCAACAAGGACAAAATTTGTAGATATCCCGTGCAACCCCCCTGCCTTCTTGCAATGTGGCACGCACATAGTAGCAGCAGGACAACAATTGAAACACAATACTTCAGTTGTAACAAGAGTTATCAAAATATAAAACAAATCATAATGATCCCCAGGGCCTAAAGAAACATTCTACTTGTCCAGAGTCCAGAAGGAATTATATATTTTTATTTATTTATTGCTGTGTTGGAGACTGTGTCTGTATCCAAACGTATATGTTTAATAGAGTATCTATTGACATAATTACAAACACATTTATTTTTCAACAAAAACTCAAAATTGTTTCTGCTTATACTTTCTTATACCGGGTCATGAATGAATTTAAAAGTTGGAACTGGCTCCAAGGTACTTGCTAGTACCTACTTCATTTAAATCACAGTCCGTCGGAGCCTTACTTCATCTACCTATTATGTCCTTACAAATTTTGTTTGGCGACAGGCAATGAGTTATTTATACATTTAAGATGTTCTATTTCGATAAACTAAGGTAGTTTTCAATATTTTTTGTAGGTAGGTACTGCTAAAGGCCTATTTAATCTAAATGGCACAAGTAAGAACTCATTGAGATAAGGCAAGTGAAAATTACCTACTTATTTTTTTTTTAAATAATATTCAATGGGAACTTCTGGAAATACATTAAAATAATAGCAAATATAAACATGCATCTATTTAAGATTGCTCCCTCATATATGTTATATTTTTATCATTTGAAAAGTTATAAATATTTAAAAGGCGATAACAGATTATTGCAAAACAAATTCGCGAAATGTGATGGTTTACTTTTAGTCGTTTCCCAGAAAACAGCCAACATGAATATGAATTGTTTCATTGTGATCACTGTGGCACTGATTTGGTGCCAGGCAGCTAGATCAATAGGTAAATATTTTGAGTCAAAGACAAATAAATAATAGGTATAGAATCTTTTTGTTTCAGAATCAAATTTTTATTATGAAGAATGCTGTGGTAAAAAAGGTGGAGCGTGTGTTTTAAAAAATGAATGTCCTCAACCAGTTTCGGAGGAATTCGAGTCGCTTTGTCCTCTCCAGAAATCATTAGGGGCTGTTTGTTGCAAAGGAAGTAAGTATTTTTAGTTATAGAATATTTAACGCGAAAAATTGAGAAATTTTAAGCAATTATGGAAACGCTTCCAGTCCAAGAGACCTTTTTGCTAACATTAGTTTTTTTAGTAAAATCAGAAGACCTCAACTGCTACCAACAACACAATGCATGTTTCGACCCGAAAAAATGCCCAAACAATTTAAACCTAGGGAAAAAAGGATGTCCAGAAAAGCAAATATGTTGTGTATTAGTTTAGATTCTATTTTATTCATATAAATAAATAATACAGACCAAATAAATATAATTTTACAAACATTAATTATTTCTTTTAAATTTCCACATAAAATAACCAATTAAAATCCATACTTAGCTCGACTCATCATCCTATTACTCCTGCTAGTGGCCCACGCAGCCTTCAATTCCTGCTCTTTAGCCTTGGCTTGCTGGGCCAAAAACGTAATATGATGTTTTCGTTTTTTAGTAGAATCTATGGTACCATCATCCTCTGGCGGTTTGGGAGCGAGATCCGGATCAGTCAAGGACTTGGTCATCATTAAATCTCTGTCTGGCATTGAGTCGTCTTCATTAATGTCGATTAGTTTGATGTTACCTATTGGCCGCCTGGATTTTCCTATTAGTTCTTTGAAGGCTTCGTTGTCTAGACCATCGTAAGGTTTTTCAGGATCAGGTGCAATCGTTAATTCTTCTTGAAGAATTTTAAAGGTAAGTTGAGAATTTTGGACAATTTTTTTTTGATAATTCTTACCAGGTTCGGGTTGATGTGATTTCTGGACAACTTCAATGATAGGTTTTTTGGGTTTCGGACGACCACAAACTTTTTCCCACATTTTATCGTCAAAACTATCAGGTAATGGGATGTCTTCATTGTCTGTATCACTGTCGCTTGCTGTACTAATTTTGGTAGTTTTCGCTGACAGAGCCTTTTTGGCAGACTCGGAAATTATTGCTGGAAAAAAATGCAAAAACTATAAAACCAATGTATTAACATAAAATGGTGTTCGAACAACTTCTAACATAGGTAATCTGTTCATAACAATTATTGTAACCCTTGATCCCCGTACCAATATCAAAACTAATTTGAGGCGGTATTCTAGAAACCCTAAGTCTCGTTGTAAGGTGGTAGTGATACCCTATCCAAAATTTGGAGAAAAGGTATAAAAGCTCTACTTTTGTCAAGTTTTCCGATATTTTAAACTCTTCATGCCGTAGTTATTGTGAAACCAAATCAAGGGTTTATTATTCTAGAAGGCTTTTTCAAATTCCTGCTAAAAGATGATAGTGGTGCCACATCCAGAATCTTGACAAAAGGGATAAACACCTTACTTTCATTGAATTTTTGATATTTTCAACTTTACTCTTGATCCCCTATAATTTTCAAAACCAATTTGAGACATATACTCTGTTAAATTCCTGTTGAAAAATATACATACCTTTCTTTTTGGCCACCATTCGAGGTACCATAGGAGCGCTCTTCTTCTTCACAGCATCAGGTACGAAAGTGACATTAGACTTGGGCACAGATTGTACTGGCGGTAATAAACTCAATAAACCGCTGCCTTTCTGCGAGGGCTTCGCACGTTTTGTTGAAGGTTCATCACTGTTATTGAAATCATCGAAGTCTGACAAAGACGGAATTGTAATTTGTACTTTCCTTTTTTCTTTTAGGGTTTTCACTGTGGGAATGAAATCTTCCAATTGGTCATTTTCTTCGGCTATATTTGATCTGGCGGGTTTTGCTTGAGGTAATTGCGAGAAAAGGCCACTGGTTGACGGTGTGGAACTGTCAATGGGTGCTAAGGCTGGATTCTACAAAGAAGGAATTGAAGAGTGACAAAATGTTTTTAAATGCAAAACCATCAAAACTTCACTTTCAGTGATAATATGGGGAAGGAGCTTAAACATAGGACAGAAGTGGAATTTTTATTAAGAAAGATAGAAACGTAACAATGTTTTTGGACTAATCAATAACACTTTTATGTTTTTCAATCATTGGTCAATGAACTGGGCTTTTTCTGAGACATAATATGCAAATATACAACTAATAAGTACGTCTTGGACTTTTTATTAAAATTGGCAGTCCTGCTGCAATCACATTTAATAGTAAAAAAAGTTGAAGGTGGTAGACGCTTTTTACTCATTGGACGTCGACCGGTGAGATACCACCATGCCAGAATTGAGTAGCGCTAAGTGGTATCACCACGTTCCGCTACTGCGCTGGTAGTCCGGTTCCAACAATGAGTAACAGATAGCATGATGGCGCCTCCAGGATCAAAATATTCCGGAGGTAAAATACCCGACCACTCGGATCTCCGGGCGTCGGGTGATCCTGGGGGTCCTTCATGCAAAGATATAAAGAGAAGATCAAAAACTCAACTCAGAATTGATTTTAGCAATATAAGAGGAATAAGTACAAATATGAATTCAGTTCACCAACATCTTGAAGAACAAAGACCTGACATCCTTGTTCTCACTGAAACTAAAATCAGTTCTGCAACACCTATTGTGAACTATCTTTATCCCGGCTATGACCTACACCACCGATTTCGACATAATTTTGGGATCTGTGTGTACATTAAAAATGACCTTTCATGTCATCGAGAGGAGAAGCTAGAACCAGCGAACCTTGATATCATATGGCTAAAATTCACCTCAAAGTCATCGACCAAGTTTATCTGCTGCCTCTACCGACCGCCAAGTAACACCGATTACCAAAACTTTTTCGCGACATTATCCGAAAGCTGTGATAGCATACAGTCAAACTATCCACAGGCGGAAATTGTCTTTTTAGGCGATTTCAACGTCCACAATATACCCTGGCTGAAACACCACAACAAAACAGATAACGAAGGCAGAGAAGCAGAAGCTTTTGCCATAAGTTGTGGTCTAACGCAGCTTGTCGATGAACCTACCCGTATCTCAGAAAGGGGCGAATTTGCAGCGCTTTTAGACTTGTTCCTAACCACCAATCCTGACTCGTACACAATTCAAGTAAATGCTCCACTTGGTTCGTCCGATCATAAACTTATAATAACAAAGTGCGAAATACTCATCCCACCAAGCCTACAACCACTTCCTCGTAAAATGTGGCACTATAAATCGGCAAAATGGAATGACCTAAAACAGTATTACCTGGATTTTCCATGGCAAGAGGTTTGCTTTAAAACAGCTGATCCCACTATTTGCTGTAATGAAATAACACAAGTAATCTTATCTGGAATGGACGCATATATCCCACATACAACTAAACGTAGAGCTAATGCAAAACCTTGGTTCAACAGCCAGTGTCAAACGGCTGTACAGAAAAAACACAGAGCATATAACCTTTGGAAACGACAACAAACCGCTCAAAACCACACAGAATTTATAGAAGCCAGAAATAGTTGCAAAATTACTATTGACTCCGCTAAAGAAACATACAATCAAAGAATAAAAAACAGGTTGCTGAATTGTCCAAGTAGTTCTAGGTCTTTTTGGTCTCTTGCAAAAGCTGTTGGATCTAACTTCACCAAGTCATCCATACCACCACTTACAGATAAAAATAATCACTTAGCCACAACATCAGAGGAAAAAGCCAATATGCTTGCCCAAATGTTTTCCTCCAACTCCAACCTAACAGTGCCAAACGGAAAAACTCCACCGTTCATTGAAAGGGTTTCCCATAGTATGCCAGAGGTACCCTTTTGTCACAGAGAAATACGAAAATCCCTAAAAAAGCTGGATACAAACAAAGCAATGGGTCCGGATGGCATTCCCGCAATAGTACTCAAAAATTGCGCCAACGAACTCACCCCAACTTTCGCAAAATTATTCAATTTGTCTTACAGGCAAGGAGTATATCCATCATCATGGAAGTCTGCCGCAGTACAACCCATTCCAAAGAAAGGAAAAAAGACAGATCCGTTAAACTATAGACCAATTGCTCTACTTCCGGTGATATCAAAAGTAATGGAAAGAGTTGTGAACAATCACCTAACCAAGTACTTGGAAAAGTACAAAATTATCAACGATAAGCAATACGGATTTCGAAAATATAGGTCAACTGGAGATTTACTTACATTCGTCACTCACTTATGGCAAAAAGCGATTGAGTTGCGGGGTGAAACAAGAACAATTGCCTTAGATATATCTAAAGCATTCGACAAAGTTTGGCATGAAAATCTGCTCAACAAGCTCAAAGCAATGGGATTATCGCCGAAACTTTGCACTTGGTTTGAAAGTTACCTAAAGGACAGATCCATTTATGTTGCACTGGATGGCCAGAACTCCAACTCTTACCAAATAAATGCTGGTGTGCCACAGGGAGCAATCCTTTCGCCAACTCTTTTTCTGATTTACATAAATGACCTCATAGATAAAACAGTAAATCCACTTTATTGCTTTGCAGACGATGGCGCTGTAGTCTCCTCACTCATACTACCCACAGGTCTTTCCGCACGTGAATTCCATCATCTTAGACTAACTCAAATATCGCAGATAAATAACGACCTGGAGATAATAGAGGACTGGGGTAACAAAAACCTTGTACAGTTCAACGCGCAGAAAACCCAAGCAGCTCTGTTTTCAAAAAAGACCAGCACCGGTGAGCCAAACATCATGCTATCTGGAAGTGCTGTCACATTACAGAGTCAGTTGAAAATCTTGGGGGTTACTGCAGAGACCAACATGTCTTGGCACAGTCACGTGGCAGATATTGCTAAAAGGGCCTCCCAAAAGCTGGGGGTGCTATTTCGTACAAGACATCTGTACACACCAAGCCAATTGCTGACACTCTACAAAGCCCAGATTCGACCAACTATGGAGTACTGCTCACATATATGGAGTGCAGCACCCAAACATACCTTAATGCTTTTGAATACCGTGCAAAAACGAGCTATCAAGCTGATCAATGACCCCGCACTTACTCGTAACTTGGATGGTCTCGAACATCGCAGATCTGTGGGCGATTTATCTCTCTTCTACAGGTACTATCACGGAAAATGCTCTGAAGAGTTGGCACGTATGATTCCACCGAGAATAGCACCTACCAGGCGAACCCGTCAAACAGACGGTAACCATGAATTTACTGTCAAACTAGAGGCACCAAGAACCTCATTATATCAGAATTCATATCTCTGGAGAACAACATCGCTGTGGAATAAACTCCCTGCGACGGTTTTCCCTTCAGGTTACGACCTGAACCGTTTCAAGACCAACATACACCGACATTTCCGCGCACTTGCCGCTTCTCGAGCGTGATAGGACATTTCCTTGCGAGTGCGCATATCCGTAAAAAAAAAAAAAAAAAAAAAAAAAAAGCAACCATCAATCCAGAACCCGTATTCTTGAACCGGGGGAACAGCGTTTTCGGGAGAACGATTTCTCTCTCTATCAGTATTATGGAAATAACAATATGGGCGACTAAGACAAAACAATCGTTCTCTTGAGAACCCCGGTTACGAGAATACGGGCCCAGGAGAACATCTTTAGCCCAAGATTGTCCTATAGTTAAAATATATTACATAGAAATAAGTACATTTTCAAAATTAAAGCAAAATAAAAACTACTTCAAGGAAAATCAAATAGAATCTTAGTTTTGATACAATGTTGCACGTTTTTGGCAGTAAGAAAATGTCCAATAAACACAGAAAAATATGTGAAAATTAATTTGCTTACTGGAGAAGCTGGTTTTCCATTCAAGACTACTTCAGATTTTGAAGAAACTTCCTCGTCGTCAGTTATTTCTCCATCACTTCCACTGCCACAATCATAGGGAACCAGTGCCATTATAAATTAGCCTGAAATTTAAAATAAAAACCATTTCAAATTGGTCATTTCTCTTCTTTTTTTAAAATGATATTTTAAAATGAAAATTTAAGCAACATTTTATGTGACTTAGACCAGGTGAATCTTATAGTTCCTACCACCTAAAATTGCAAGTAAAATTGATTTGATTGTGATATTATTGATTAATTTTGATTTTTCGACTTTTCCTATGTTTTCATTTATTTATTTATTTATGTTCAAGTGCACTCTACAGAACAAATATCTAAATGTTACACTGCAGAAAATGAACCTAAATAATGATATGCAAATTTTTGCATAGATTGGCTTTGTTATTACTTAAACACAGATTCCAGTCAATACTGTTGAAATAATCAATGTATCTGGCTAATAAATTTATTTCAGTTCCATATTGTTCGCTTTTTTAAATAGGTAGATAGGAGTCCCGGAAAATTATTCGAAAAGAAAATTGTTCGAACCGAAAATTATTCGAAAAGAAAATTTTTCGAAAGGAAAATTATTTGAACAGAAAATTGTTCAAAAGGAAAATTGTTTGAACAGAAAATTGTTCGAAGGGAAAATTGTTCGAAAGGAAAGTTGTTTGAATGGAAAATTGTTCGAACGGAAAATTGTTCGAACGGAAAATTGTTCGAACGGAAAATTGTTCGAAAGGAAAATTGTTCAAATGGAAAAATGTTCGAATGGAAAATTGTTCGAAAAATAACTGTATGTACAGGGTAAGTATTTGATTATATTTGGACCCATACCTACAGCCTTTAGTATTTAAGATATAAAAAAATTTGAAATACAAAACTTAACAGTTTTTTCCTATATTTTCTTTTAAAATTACCAGAAAAACCAAAATCGCATCGGAAAATGGAGAAACGTTGACAACTTCGACTTTTTTTAATGGAACACCCTGTATATTTTGCGATAAATTTAAAGATCTTTGATCTTTTCTTCCTGATTCCAAATATATATATATATATATTGATCACATTTGAGTGAGCCGTTTTTGACATATTTCAGCTTAAATTATAAATAATTTGCAAAGAAATTTCCTAAGGATGTCAAGACATTTAAATCTTTATAAAATTTCATTGGATTTTATTTATAATTTAAACCAAGATATATCAAAAACGGCTCATCCAAATGTGATCAATATAGGGTGTAAATTTCAAGTGATACCACTATTGGTATATCCGAAACGGTAAGAGCTACAAGGTCGGTTGAATTAGAGAAAAGTTGCCATTTTAAATGCCCATTCAAGACTCGTTTACAGTGTTGCCAAATTCCTTTTAGTTTATGAAATACAGGGTGATTTCTAAGAAACGCCTAAAAATGTTTTATCTATTATTTCAAAAACTATTGATTTTCGGAGACACAATTCGAATTTGAAAGTTCTATAATTTTTTTCTCTCTACAAGATGGCATCTTCAAAATTCAAATCTGACGTTTCGTGATCGAGCTTCATTTTTTTGAATACAGACCTGGATTTTTTATGTGATTTTAAGAAAGCGCCCCCTATTCCCTCTTTAACGATGTATCTCCGAAGTATGATTGGCCGACGTTGCTGCTCTAAAAAGTGATCATTAGTGATTTTTACCAAAATTTTACCCAAGTTCGGCCATAGTTATGAACCTGTATTTCATAAACTAAAAGGAATTTGGCAACACTGTAAAGGAGTCTAGAATGGTCATCAAAAAAGGCAACTTTTTTCCAATTCAACCGATCTTGTAGCTCTTACCATTTCGGATATAGCAATAGTGGTATCACTTAAAATATACACCCTGTATATACATATTTGGAATCAGGAAGAAAAGATCTTTCATTTTATCACAAACGTAAAACCACCAAAAAAGTGAAAAACCTTTTTTAAATACAACAGCTCGAAATTTCAATTATTTTTAAAACTCCGATTGCTGGCTTTATCGCAAACTAACCCGTCCGCCTAATGCGTGCTAGTGTCCTTGTATGTTGATATTGAATTTAAAACACCAAGAATTAAGAATTAGGGACAAATAGATAAAATTGAGGAATTGGGTAACTCCGGCCATAGATTCATTTACGATTCACAGTTAAACTATTATTGACTTTTCGGAAAAAAAAAAAACAATTTTTTGTTCGAACAATTTTCTTTCAACAATTATTTTAGAACAATTATTTTCGAACAATTTTGCGTTCGAATTATTTTCCGTTCGAACAATTTTCTGTTTGAATAATTTTCCGTACTAATCATTTTCCGTTCAAAAAATTTTCCGTTTGACCAATTTTCTATTTGAACAATTTTCCGTTCGAACAATTTTCCGTTCAAACAATTTTCTTTCGATCAATTATTTCCGAACAATTTTCTGTTGAAGGGTAGATAGTCGTTGGATCTTCGGCTTTTACCGTTTGTCTACTTCCGTATGAGAAACTAACTCCAAAGGTGGATGTATATCAACCACCCTACACAGCGGAAAGTCACTCTTAACTTTAACATGTTAGGTTTACAGAGCAAAAATATGTTTGTCTATGTTTTGATGTTCCTTATGAAAGTTTGTTGGTATAGTTATGAAACACCCTGTATATAATTGATAGCGAACTTCATGCTACGCTCTTCAATTAAGTACAAATCAACCGTTTCCGATGAAATTAATTTTATTTTATTTTTTTAAAGGCAGTGGATAGAAGTCCGAAAATTCGGATCTCTAGTGTTCATACTAAAGTTCCGATAATTCTTGGATTTTCAATTTGTATATTAGGGGTCCGAAAATGCGGATCTTCAGTGGTATTATTGAAGATCCGAAAATAGATGTTTATTTCTAATTCTGTCGTAATTGAGGAATATTATACCATTTCAATAAAATTGATAAAATCCTTGTATTTTTAAGGATTTATACTAGAAAAAATGGATCCTCTAATCCTTTTTATGTAGAATAATTAATCAAGTTTACTCAAAAATATTTTGTTGGTGCAATTTCAAACAGAAAAGTACAAAAAACAAAACTGAGTACCTTTTTATTTTTTTAAAACATTACATAATTAAGAATATATATTTCTTCATTTTAAGGGTTGATTGGGTAAGAGGCGTGAGGTGTGATTTAGTTCCTTCTGCAATCATGCAAAACCAGGCTTTTGTAAGCAATCTTCATGTATCACTTTGTTACATATATCACAAATCCATTTTAAAATACTATTTTGTTTTTCTCCAATTCGTTTATGTAATAAAACATAAGAATCCAGACAAAAATATGTTTCTATTTCTGCTAAAGATATTTCTTTTTCAAGAAGAAGTGGACCAATTTGTTGATGATGACGAATGTTTTATTTCTCATTTTTAAAGTTTTTATGTAATGCTTTGCTTACCAAATCATCTGTATTTAAAACTGCATTAAGCATTATCTGGTGCCTCAGTTTAGGAACTTCATTTTTGAATAAAACACTTTTATTTTTCTTAGACCTTTTTAGTCCAATTGGAGTGAATTGATGTCCTTTGGGTCTTCCTTTATGGGTTTCAAAGGAAATTTAATACTTTTTATTTTTTCTTCTTATTGGTTTTGTGCAGTAGTATTTGGTTCTTGGGCTAGTTTCCGAGCTAGTTTCATTAAAATAAACCTATGCATCATTTTCATTTATTGTCTATGTCAGACCTTGAGAAGATTATTACCGGTCTAGACAACAAATTTTCTATTAATGAAATTCTTAACTCTAAAATGCTAAAAGAGGTTTTTCAAGCAATAGGTCATATTATTTTAAATTTGGTGAATGCATCTCTTAGTGTTGGAAGCATTCACAAGGCACTGAAATCTAGTATTGTTATCCCCATTCAAAAGGTCAATGGTACCATTCACGCTAAAGAGTTCAGACCGATCAATACACTGCCACCAATAGAGAAAGTTTTGGAAAGGGCTGTTTATGATCAATTGCTCGAACATATTACAAATAGCGCTATTTTGGTAAACAATCAGTCCGGGTTCAGGCAGAAGCACTCCTGTGAATCTGCATTACAATTAACTTTATGTAAAATAAAAAATGATCTGGATAATAATAAATATGTGGTGGGTGTGTTTTTGGACCTGAAAAGGGATGTCTATCAACTTAGCGAGACAACTTCGAAAAATCGATTTTCCATTATGCCAAGAATTTGCCGCTTTTTTGCCGCTAATTAAATGTGGAATTAAAAAATTTGCCGCTCTTTTGGTTTTTTCTTAATTACGTGTTTTGCTAACTTGACGTCAAGATAGCGAGACAACATCACTAAATATGTCGGCAGTAAAAAATTAGGTAGGTGAAAATTTGCCGTTTTTTTGCCGCTAATTAGTTGTGAAAACCAAAAATTTGCCGGTTCTTTTTTTTTCATAAAAAATCAAGTTTGAAAAAAAAATCATTTGTCTCGCTAACTTGACATCAAGTTAGCGAGACATTATCACTAAAAATGTCGGTAGTGAAAAATTGAATGAATGGAAATTTGCCGTTTTTTTGCCGCTAATTAGTTGTGAAAACCAAAAATTTGCCGCTTTTTTTTTTTACAAAAAAATCAAGTTTGAAAAAAAAAATGTGTTTCGCTAACTTGACGTCAAATTAGCGAGACAACATCACTAAATATATCAGCAGTAAAAAATTAGGTAGGAGAAAATTTGCCGTTTTTTTGCCGCTAATTAGTTGTGAAAACCAAAAATTTGCCGGTTCTTTTTTTTCTCATAAAAAATCAAGTTTGAAAAAAAAAATCATTTGTCTCGCTAACTTGACATCAAGTTAGCGAGACATTATCACTAAAAATGTCGGTAGTGAAAAATTGAGTGAATGGAAATTTGCCGTTTTTTTGCCGCTAATTAGTTGTGAAAACCAAAAATTTGCCGCTTTTTTTTTTACAAAAAAATCAAGTTTGAAAAAAAAAAAAAATGTGTTTCGCTAACTTGACGTCAAGTTAGCGAGACAACATCACTAAATATGTCAGCAGTAAAAAATTAGGTAGGTGAAAATTTGCCGTTTTTTTGCCGCTTATTAGTTGTGAAAACCAAAAATTTGCTGG